GTCTTCACTTTTTCATGAGTTGCAAAATCTTGAGTTCTCTGGATCAATATTAAATTTTGTTATGGTCAATTGAATATTATTGACATCTGTATTTTAGTCTGGATTTCCAATGTTTGTTCTTTTCTTTTCTTTTCGTATGTGCAACTAAATCAGTGTTGCAAAACAAACACTAGTCAACAGATGCGCAGCAATCTTAAATCAATATCATTTTCATATTCCAAACTTTCCCCCAATAGGTCCTTAAGATGAAGGCTGTTTTTAACAACAGCGTGTGAAGAAAAACGTTTGTTTTTATCTTTATCGTTCTTATTTTTCATCGTAAAATAACTTATGGAATTTTTATAGAAAGTTTGGCATAAAACAAATCGTAGTCATCAAGTAGTTTAACTTTTTGTCATTTATATAATATTAGTCTCAATTTAGAATCTAGCCTTCTCATCAAGTTTGTAAAAGTGAACAAGCATCGTAAACTAAAGAATGTAATTACTTTCTTGTCACTCATTGTTAATTTGTCAGATTTGTTTCAGCTTCATAGGGGGTAAGGGGAACTTTCGAAAAGTTTCGCGGTGGCCAGCAGACTTTGATTCCCGATCACCCTCACTTAACACTTTGTCCACTCTTCTGTCGGTCTGCACTGAATAAACCTATTATATCCAATGTGAGTGAATAAAGTGATTCAGACGGTGTTGTGAATGAAAACGGAGAAAGGGTCAACCATTCTGTAATAAAGTGCACACGGCAAGGTTTACCGCACGGCTTGTGTATAATGTGAATAGATTTTCAGTATTATATAGGCTAAGTGGTGTTCTGGCCACGCCCTATGTTTATCTAATACATTTTATAACTTCAAAGTATTACTTGAAGATTGTCCTGAATTATAACTATGTCTAGAAAATATGGCTGAGATTCGAATGCATTTTAAAGGTTAATGTTGCTGAAAACATGGATAAACTCAGAGCACGAATATACCCAGTACTGCCACAGAAAGTCGTTACTCTAAAGCGTAAAATATCCATTTGGGTATAATATCGTTTTTATTAAAGCCCTAGACCCAATTCTCATACCTACATAGATCTAGCAGGATCGACCCATCTCCGAGGGAATTCTCGCTAAATTGCACTCGGCTTAAGCGGCTCTGATGTCTAGACTTACACATATATGAATATAAATATAAGTGCACCGTCCCCTATGTTCAATTATTATATAGCGATAATGTACTTAAACTATCACTAAAGAATATATATACCAACATTTTTGAAACAGTCATGCTTGTTCTTTCTAGAATCTCTAACTCCTTTTACTATTTTAGGTTTAATTTACGACATTTGCTGCACTTTTTACATTACTTATTCTTTGTGTAAACAGCAATGGCAAGAATGTTAAACGCGGTTTTAAGAGATTGAATTACTAGCATTTAAATGAATAGAATGATCATTATTCAAGAATCTTAATTTATCTAGTAGGTATATGTAATACGAGTAACGTGTGTTTGTTAAGTATTACTAAGTAAATATATATAGGATTATATTTAACATCTGTAAAGTAGATCTTCAGAGATGCATCAGCAATAATACTTATACATAGGATAATATTTAACATCTGTACAGTAGATCTTCAGAGATGCATCAGCAATAATACTTATATCTTCCTTATAATCTATACGGTAAATTGACATGAATCCTTGAAGTATTACTAATGACGGATTCTTATGGGTAACTGTTGGATGGTACACCCCTGTACCCCTGTGAGCAAACTGAAGTTAATTCATCAAACACATAGTAGACGGGAATTCAAGTAAAGCAAACTATCTAAATGGGATGTTGAAAGACGCAGAAAGAGGAAAGTGCTTCTCTGACACACGACACTCGAAATAGGGGTGTGTTGCAGTTAGGGTCACTTAAGCATCATATTTAGACTTTTTTTAAAAACCAACACAATTCTGTCTGGGATATATTGGATCGAAAATATCCAAACGTATCGGACTTTAAATTCTATTAAATAAAAAAAGTCTTAATTTAGTTGAATGAAATTGTCTCCTGTGCTACTTAATGGTCAGCCTCTGCCATATATAAGTTTAGAATTTAATAACAATTAAGTACATTTGTTCGGAGACAATAACAATTTAAATCATATAGAAACCATACAGTCGTCATATCAGAAACCTCAACATGTATCAAGTACACAATTGCCTTCGGATGTTTATTTTGCGCTGCCATGGCGACTATTATTCATACCTGAAGTACGTAATGATTGGAACGGGCACTGGACATTATATAGTAGGTCCTTTCATAACACAGTGGTCAAGTTAGGTGTGTTTAATATATCGTGTGCTATAATAACATTGACGGTAGGGTCCACTTGATTCGGGTCCACAAGAATGTACACATGTATCGGTGCAATGTACTCCCTGCATCATTAAGGATGGGCATCGAATTCGGAAGAATATTCATCGATTTATTGCACATCGCTTAGAAAATTCTATCAGTAAACGAAACTGTTTATCCTAAATAGGTTCGCATTCATGGGATCGCATTCGTTTGATAATCTTTATCATATCTGATAAAATTTGGTATTCTATCTTGTATTTTTGCTTAATGTTTCTGGATCTAGCCACGCAAATGTGATGAATAAAACTTGATTTCTCCATGACTTGTAGGGTCTACGCCAAATCTGATATCAGAGCAAATTTGAATAATTGAGCAATTTTTATCTGCGTAAATTTGATAGGTATTGAAATTATTTATGCATGTTTACTATTGTCTATAATAAAGAAAAATAATTATGTTTTGACATAATTTAAGACTTGTCATTAGAAATATTTAGAAGAATTCTTTTTCATGATAAAGGGCCTAGCAAACAGTGCTTTAATAGTTAACAACATTGGTGCGTCTAACTCAATTTAATCAATTATTTTATTTTCGTTGCATTTTTTATACTTTCCTTGATACTGTAACCTTAATAACAACTTTATTTTCGTCGTAAATTTCAAAATAGCGAGTTTTCTGGATCGCTATTATATTTTGTTTTGATGGATCAAAATACCATTGCCTCTCTTAATTTCCAATTTCGATGTTCTTTTTACAGCTGAGCTATCACCGCCAAATGACTCGAAATATGGAAACAAACAATACGTGGTCATTATTTATCTATACATTTTCGTCTTTGTCGTTTTGATAAACTTTTCATCAACCCCCGTAAGTGTCAACACGTACTATTTAAGGATATAGTTATTTTCCTCTTGCTCATTTTTTGCCAAGTGGGCCCCAGATCTCATCGTTAACATTACAGCTGTTTTTGTACATGCATGTGCTTCAGTCGGGCCAGTAACTGACAGTTTTTCAGAAATTGCACCGGCCCAGCCCAATTTCTACTGGCATCGGCAGTCGGGCCAGTTGCTAAAGTTGCAAACTGATAGTATTGCCCGACATACATTATACATAGTGACTTCATTCTTCAAAGTGATACACAGTATGGGTTGAAACTGTTTATGTGTCACTATGGACATTATGGAATCACAAACTAATTTTATTACTTCTTATGTAAGCCCATATATAAAAGAAAACCAAACCTTTATTGTAATACAATGTAATTCCGGTGACAATGCCCGACATCTGCACGTAAGCTAAATTCTTGACTACAAAAATAAACTTCGGCAAATATATATTATAAGTATTCAAAAGCTCCAACTGGACGTGAAAATGCTCTTAGTTTGCTTGGTCAGCGGCCCTGAAACAACTTGGTCAACACGTGGAATTTGCACAACGTGGACTTGGCTTGACCGCAATTCAAACCACAGCTTAACAGTGGATGTTAACTGGTTGAAAAACATTAGTAGCGTTCAAGGCTACTTTTATCTTACTTTTAACCGAAATTCCTGTATTGAAATTTTTCAGAAATGCCTGATATAATTATAATCAGTCTGTTACTATATTAAGCATTATTCCTGATCTTACAGTAGCGGAAGAATTAGGAAGGGCCTACAGTCAATAATAATAAAATTAATTGATAAAATTTTTACTGCCAGTGTGACAGGAATGGTAGTCCTAGGAATAAAAGTCCGGGGTTCCAAATGATTAGTTTAGGTTAGGGTTAGTCGGAGCTTTGGGGTTAGTATATGGGACAAATGTCACCCGTATTCAAAGTAATGGGAAACGGACTACGATGAAGGGTGGACTCTCTGTAACACGGACCTTCAGTTTCGTTAAACTGGTGCTTTCGCAAAGACTAATTGCAAACACTTAAATACATCTTAATTACAAAAGTTAAAAATAAAACTTAAAACATGTCAGCTTTACACATTAATATCAAAAACACTTTATTAATCAGTATGTGTATACTTACACGTGCTGTGCTAAAACTACAATTAAAATTGAACATTCAGCTTGTATAAAGTCCATTACATGTACGTAAAGCCTAGTACTGAGACAATCTTGAACAATGTGTTGCTCCTAACATACATGTAGTTCTTAAATATTGCTTTTCTCCACCGTTACACAGCGAATAAACTTCCTGTGAAAAAATTACCACCCACGTTGAAAAGCTAGTTATCTTATAAAATCATTTACTGGAAGTGGAGATTCTACCTTTTTCGAGTGATTACAATTCATGCCAGAAATGTACGCATTGTTGCACAATGGAAAGATAAAGCCCAACGGCTTATCTTTCAGAGAACACCCAGAAAAGGTTTTAACCAATGTCCTCACTAACAAGGTAATATTCTCCGCCCGTAAACAACAAAACAAAAACAAACTATATATTTGTATTTATATGTAAGACTGATGAAGAGTAAGTTTGCAGCACATTCGATGTTAACTTTGCATGTGTAGCCAAGTGTTGTTCAGTAATTTCAATGAATTTTTTTCTAATTTACAAAAATCCTTGCTCGCACCGAATTCCAATCCCTCGTAAACGCATCGAATCCTAAATCCAGTGAACGGCTGCATAACGATATTCTTATTGCAGGGGTCATCGGCTTTGTTGATGGGCCGGGGGGTGGGGGGGGGGGGGTAGGGCAGGGCACAGGAGACTTTTCTGTGTCGCCCGGTACGTTTCCATCAAAAAGAGCATTTTAAGACAAGCAATGGAGTAGAGGGAGGGGGGGGGGGGGTAGAGATTTGCCTTCGAAATTGATTCAAAATTTCTGCCAATTGTGCAATCTCTCTATGTTTAGCTACCCGTAGCACAGGGAGCGTTAACTGGCGTTTTACTTCTATTGTCTTTTTGATGGGTGGATCGTTTTGCTGTCGACTTAGCTGCACTTGTAGCGATTTACACGTCGTCACAGAATTCAAAACATAACTTTATAGCTGACGACCAGCAATCATGCTATATGATAATAATAAAAAACAGTAGGATCCTGTTGTTCTCACGTTGCATCACTGTAGCTCGCAAACGCATTCCCCTTTATATATCACGTTTACGATCATGTCCAACTTTTCTTAATGTCTGTGCATTTCGTCCACTGTCATCAGTGCCTGTTCCATCACTGAATATAATCTACACCTTAGACAAAACGTGTCCTTTCAAACCTCGTGAGTATTGTTATACAGGTGAATTGCAGCTAGATTTAAATAGCGTTTTATGAAAACCATATACAAGTTGTACACTTCTAACGCATTCATTTACTTGGAATAATTTTACCGAGACGACAGGACTCAAATAAGGCTTAACCACTGTTGTGATAACCTTCGCATAGGTTAACGATGAACTCCAAGTAAACCACGTCAACAACGTCAAATTTGGCACTAATTTTTGCCGGTGTTTATTATAACCTCCGGGCTACGTGTGGTGTCCTGCGTTCACGTGCGTACTGTACATTGTATCATAGTATTCTGCCTTCAGAGAGAAGTTCACATTTTAGTTTCAAGTAATGAGTTTCTGGACACGCGAACATCGTCTACGTCGTTGTGATTATAGGCATTATACGTAGCAAATACCGTCTCTTTTAAATGCTTATAGTTAGCACCAATTGCAATGAGGAAGTGGACCTGAAAATAAGTACAATGTGTTAAGTGTGTTTTTGTCACAACTATCGCAATCCGTGTCCAATGCCTCGCTATCGCACTTGTCTAGAATGATTCTACTGTGGTTATTTACTAACGCAAATACATTATAAATGGAGTCACTTAAAAAAGTTTTGATACAACACCTATATAAAAGATTCTCAAAAACGCACTGTTATGAGATGCAAAAAAGCAACTCGTGTACATTTGGATTCAATGTGACAAAAAGTTCGTTTCACGTTCACGGTAAGAAAATATTAAAATAAAATCCATAGAGTACTTACCATACTAATGGCCACGAGGACGGCAGACACGAAAGTTGCTCCAAAACATATCAAGTTCTCTTTTCCCTAAAAAAAAAAAAAAATCAAACTTCGCATTATGTACAAAGAATCGCCTTCATTCGATGTTTCCCTATGCTGGTTTTTAATTCTATCAGGACATATTAACTGCGAGTACCAAACGACTTTCATGTATTAATTCTGTGCTATGACGGTATTAAGCCATTCAGCACAAGGCATCGACACCGCTCTGAATCTAAGCACATATTATTTTTAACATCATTCACAGAGTGGACAACATCACACAGATGACGTCACACATTACATCACATACCTGAGTCCAAAATAAGTACAACCTATCGTCACATATGGGTTCTTTATTTGGGAAGCCTGAAAAAGAAAGATATCTTGAAGGAAACGGATGGCCGTTAAAAGTGGTATAGAGGGCCTAACGATGACGTACTGAGTACTTAGTACGAACACCAATAACAAAAACTATAAACTTTTTTGATTCACTGTACAGGTAAATACGATAATTACGTGAAAACGCATGTGTTGAGAGCCAATAATAAAAACTAATTGCTCAAATGCTGCGAAATATGCACCACTTCACTGATTTTTTCTGACAAGACCTGCTGGTATATGATAATACGGCTGATTTCCAGATATAAGAGCACTACAACACATCTTTGCCAACTGCCTGCATGGATGGTCGTTAAGTGCACTGTAGGGCAAAGTCAATATCTATATGATATCCGTTTGCAGAGGCAAGGATGCTTCAGTCCGTGATATCTACCAGGTACATCAGGAGTATCAACTTTACATATCCGTCATTATTAATAATAATCTTCACGAGGACATACAGCAGATGAAAAAGAACGCCCCAATGGTCTTCCCAAGTATTTTACTGTATTCTTTGCTTACTCTACCTGTAATCACGCGATAAACAACAAATATCCGCGGTCACTCTATAACATAACTGTAGAAACTCTGCAACATACCGTAATTTTGCAAATTAATACACTCCACTGCATACTCCTCATACAGTATCCGCAGTAATATTAGTAGGAAGAGAGGCAATGTCAACGCACAGCAGATCAACAGCCAGACCACGTGAAAAGTGTAGGCGAAGATTAAACACTGAAATTAAATATGTATAATATCTACATGCATATTGTTGTACTGGTCATAACAATAATAATATATGTAAAACATTGAACTCAGAAATCGTTGAATATGGTACATGTACTAGTACCAGGGCAAGCGCCAATAAAGGTGTCAATGAAATGTGAAGATTCTTTTTTATAACCGTTTTGAGATTTGTATGTATAGTATATTCACGATATGAAACAGGTTGGATGTTTCACAATCGCAATCAACTTAGTGTATTCATACAGGTATACTGATAACTTAAAAAGTTTCAGAGAAATCCAACTAGCGGTATAATGCGTACGTGTACCAGGGGAAACGTTCATTTCAAAATTATATTTATACATCGATTACGGTAGGCAGAATATAACCCACGAAATCGACAGATTGTCCAGAAAACCGTCCACATAAAAAAATGCCTTAATTCTGAAGCTTGCACTCTTGTACACTGATACAAAGTCCTATCGATCTGACTAGCAATTCGAAGGTTGAAAAACATTTTACACTCTCTCTCTCGGAGTTTTTCCTCTTCATTTCCTAAGTTTGTGTGTGAGTGTGTGTGTGTGTGTGTGTAAGCAACAAGTAATTTCAGTTCAAACACTACCTAATAATATCGCCTGTTTCACTTAAACACTTACCACGATGTTCAGCGATCGTCCAAACGCATTTTTCTTAGTGGTGCTAAATACATGTCTGCTGTTTTTTCCAGACGACAACGAGGCTACGACGAGGAGAAAGGTTCCCACCACGACCACAGATACACAGATCCCTATGGTAACGTCCTCCATCATATACATCCTGTATGGTGAAAATAAGTAAAGTTGACTGTACTCCTCCAATTGCCAATAGTTAAATTTTTACAATGCCAATCGAGAGGCAATACATTTTAAAACTCATATGAAACTTTTATTAAAATAACAACTGAAAACGGCAAATGCAATGTACAAATATTAATACTTAATAAACTGTCAATACTAGTCGAACACATTTAATTTGAGAAGAAAACAGAATGAAAGGTTTCGATCGACATTCACAGATGTAAAAGGTCAGGGATAAAGATATAACAGAAAAGATTTAATAATGACATAAATATATTACAACTGACCAGTCTGGGTCGGCTAACATCTCCCTGAGTCTGCGCACCCCAATAATCATGGAGGCGGTGAAGCCCCCTATCCCTACCAGCATAATAATCCATGCTATCAGAGACGCACACGGTACACTCGCCATACAGGCCAAGCAGCCGCGGTCCTGCTCCGATCCTGAAAAGAAATAATCAGTGAAATAATGGAGAGATACTTACTACTACATGTACATTAATATGGATTCATGTATTTTACTTAGGGAGGCACAAGGAAAATTTGCCTTTTTTGGATATATAAAATGCTTGGGGGGGGGGGGGGGTAAATATGTGGCACATGTATGGTATTGGGAAGAAGGGGGGCGTTTAAACTAATAGGTAGAGAGCAATCACCCTTGCCCTCCCTAAGACTTGCCACTTATTAACCATAAGACATAAACTCATAGGCTGTAGACGCACTCATACACAATATATCAATTACTATGCTGGTCAACCTGCTTCAATTTTGAAAAACCTATCCAATTTTAGAACAGATAGACCTCATTTCCACAGATTTTAGCTCAATCTATCCCTTTGGGAGTCTCACTAGATTACTGTCAGCTTAGCCGGCTTAAGCGTCTGTCCCGCCTACTAAAAGCTGTAAGGGGGTAATTAACTATGGTGCGCGCTCGGCTGACTGCAATTTAGCGTGAACCCCCAGGGAGTTAGGTCGATCTAAATCTTAATCTCTGGATCGATCTAAATCTCTGGAAATGCACCTTTAGACATCTTCAAATCTTGAATGACAATAACTCTATTATAATAGACTTGCACCAACTGCTCGCCTTAACTATGGGATACTGGTACCCTCTACCAGGGCGAGTGATAGATTTTTTACAGATATTCACAGATATGTCTCTAGCTAGATAGATGGTCATTTAGGGCTCAACTGTAGGATACTGGTACATATCAAAATGAGCATTTTGCTGTGAGTACAGCGGCGCAATCCAAGAAAAACACCCATGTATCCCAACGAGAATCACTTACTCTCTTTTACAAAGAAACATGTCCTAAGTCCTGCATGACTGTGAAAGTCCCTGTAAAATTCATTTTTGTTGTAACTGCGCTCAAAATAAGGATCATTCTCATATAAGCAACTTCAGGTTTCCCACACAGTAACACGTCTAATTTCCTATTATATCAGTGAGAATCACTGAAAAATTAATATTTTACTTCGATATCTCAAACAAAAACACCTACGATCTTAGTTACTGTTCTTTGTTTCTCCCTTGCGACATTAAACATGGCAATGTATCCAAATATTTTCATTGGCTACTTATACTGTTTATCTTTAGCGTTTCAACAACACTGTAATGTGATATAACAGTTTTTAACTTACGTTTTCCTCAAGAAAAAAAAATTCGCTAGCGATACAAAATACAAATACCACCTAGCAGAATATGTAACAAACAAGCACATACATCATCACACTATACTATATATACTTACTCATGGTTTTGTCATATATCTCCCATATATAGTCTTACAATCCCTTAAATAATTTTCTCTTCCCTCAGCTTCGATTGTAACAGAAAACGTCAAAGACTTGATTCATAATTTTGCGTGTTTTGAAGGTAGGCTAATGGTATTCATCAACAGCGTAGATGTACAAGACAGACATTTAGCACAGCACGACCGATCCAAAATGTCAACAGCTGTGCTTCTTAACCTTCCCCAATCAGCTGCACAAAAGCAATGAATTCCGGCCTTACATGTAGATATACAGGGTAAACAGAACGTTGTCATGCGTTCAGTTCACAGTGTTATCGAAACTATGGCTATGCACTACAAGATTTACGTGATCGTAACCTTCAAAGAATCCCAGGCATGTGAGGCCACTGAACAACGAGGGCCTATATACATGTGCAGCACATATCCTGTTATATGAAATACAATACAGAGCGTCGTTTTCAACTCTTCTGAATGTATAGCGTGTTCTGTGATCGTTGGCATCAGTTTCTTTCGATTTTCCAGATGTTGTAGTATTGTTCTACACACGACAAACCTTATACCCTTTAATTTTTGGCATTATATGATATCTTGAAGGCCATTGATGGTCTTCTGCAATGAACAGTTAGCTTATACTCATGAACGTTCTCTATACTTGGACGGTTTGTATCACACAGCAAGGATATCAACAGAACTATTAACTACACGATATCAACATTCGTAATATTTTTGAACGCCATCCCATCGCCACCTTCCTAACAGAAACATGTCATTGCTTTATCCCTACTTTCTTCATCTGTTACACGAACAATAATACAGACTGAAGTGTTTTAATCATACATTGTACGTGTAAAGATTGTCACAGCAAACTGAATAGCGACATTAAAAGCTATATATACCTACTGTATATCCGTCGATACGTATGCGTCCACCGTCCAAATAGCTTTGTTTATCTAATAATTTACGGGAATCTCAGGAAGACATTTCAGAAGTGAATGAGAGGAGGGTAAATGCCACAACTGTCATCGCGGGTACATATTGTTCACAAAAGCCTTGATACAGTTGCCTCGATTTCAGTCAGAGGCTGCCTCTAGGAAAGACGATAGAGCCGCAACATCTTATAGAAGGAAATCGTTAGTTAGCTGGGGAATTTAAGAAGAATACTGTTGATTGATTAAGACAGTTGTATATGTCAGTATAATCTCACAGCTATATGTAGCTCTAGGCTATCACCATCTCCGAGGATTGCTTAACAGTAAACAGAATAGTTCCCCATTGTAATCGTGACGCAAATCGAAAGGCAATTACCCGGTAGTGGCCTAACCATGTACATCTACATTTACATGAACATGTATGATGTACGTGTAACAGTACATTTACATGAACATGTATGATGTACGTGTACCAGTACATGTAGATGTACCCGATTGCCCGTCCTAGTTCCTATTCATTACAACATATGGCATAGCTTCAATTCTATTTTAATTGACAGCAGTCATGCACACCAAACCCAGTACTAAATTCTTCTATAGTTAATATTTAGTACTGATGTGTATGCATATAAACCTGAAGTACCCTTGTGGTAATCTCACTGCAAGATCACGATCAACAGCTAGCGAAACCTGGGAAATTAACAACAGAGGTTTAATCACCCTTCGGTTTACTTTCGTCTATTTCAATCAATAACAATTTGTGCAAATTGGACGGGGATCTAGATAATACAGTAACAAGACTGGTATAATACGGCATCAATCATTTTCAACCGAACATAATAACCGAGTATTGTACTCCGTGGCCTGAAGCATTTAGAATCTGAACTCCGGCTTGCTTAAAGCATTGGAATTGTGTTAAACTCCCAGAAAAAATCATGAATCTCTGAGAAGCACCCTGAGATTATGAGACTGTTACCCAGCCTGTTTTATACTGAGTATGAGAGTACGAACGGCTAGTCTGCACTGTATATTCAATATACGTTATTTGTACTTGTATTTGTACTTCTTTATCGAGAACACTTCTTACAAAACGTGTGCCAAGCTACAGAGGTGACTCTCTAATGGACTCTCTTTCTCAGGGTGATCTCCATGGAATTCTTGAGAAGACATCAAGAAACACTGTTTTTCACTATTCCCTCGTCACTTGTGATTTATAACCACAGAGATTGACGTCTAAGACCGATAGTGAAAGCCATCAAGACCGCATTGTTTAACCAAGAATGTTCATTGGTCATAACGATAAATTGTCAAGTCCGAATGAAATATCCAGCAATAGGCCACCACGTGTCAAAATATATGCCCCCCGGAATGTTTTAACAACTGCTTTTCACAGAACAGACCCAAAATGATTGTTTCTGAAATATTGTAAAGCACAGAGACTTGAAGTAGTTCTTGTCTATTTGTTAAACTCACTTGAACTTCCAATGTTCTTTCGCTATTAACTATCCATAACAAGTATTTGCTTATAACATTTTTAGCTTCAAAGTCATGGTGATTCCTTATTATTTGCGTTCTTAGAATCGGTTTCCAATGCCAAACTGTTTCTCAACAGTTCACGTTAGGAGAGGCACGTACAGAGAATGGAAACCACGCTGGTTCAAACGTGGTTAAAATGTCGACGATAATCAACACATATGTAGGACGCAGGTCAAGTTAAGCCTTACTGTTTTAATAAACAGCGTTCTGCTTGGAGGGAACCGTGTGCTCGTTTTTTTTCTTTGCGGCGCGTGCGGCTTCTAAGGCCTACTTCAGAACCCAATTTGCGAGTCCAATTTTCCTCTTTCTTCGGCCTTAAAATAATTCGACGAAATACACATTCCATGGGTTTACCATTGTCCAGTAGGCTATTCTAACGTTTGACGAAAAGGCATGATATACTGTGCATTATCTGAACGACACTGATCACCTGTGGTTGATGAAACTAAAAGCAGATTTCTATATCTGTACTTGTTTGACAGATCTCTCTCTCTCTCTCCCCCCCCCTTTCTCTCTTTGGGCTCTCTCTCTCTCTCTCTCTCTCTCTCTCTCTCTCTCTCTCTGTGTGTGTGTGTGTGTGTGTGTGTGTGTGTGTGGGAGAGAGAGAAAAAGAGAGAGGGGGAAGAGACTGTACCATGTAGGAGCCTTATCTGTTGCACATTCAATTTCGCTCAAACTAATGTCACCACATACACATGATATCCATTGGCTTGGCCAACTTCCCTTCGAAACCAGGCGACAACACAAATGACCAGGTACTTCCTTTCTCATGCCTATTCTAATATAAAACCCTTTTCTCATTCTGATATAATAAATATACACATATGCGATACCAAAATCTGATATTATTAATCCCCCCCGATTTGCTAATCAACAGGCCAGGCGGTTCACTACTCATTCCTAGTGTACACACTGCATAAGTCACCTAGCTATCTCTGCCAGCATGGGGGGACAGACCGCGGAGAATAAAATAGGTCGCTTATGAAAAATGTAAGAACTTGGAAGACGATGAGACGATGAGAAGAAGATAACTGCAGTCATTGCAGGAGATTCCGTGGTTTATAACCTTGGCTGGCTAGAGCAGACCGGAAAAACAAGAAGGGACTACGCCCACCGGGATCAGAGAGACCTCTGGACCTTGCCAATGTGCAACGTTTTTTCCCCATGCGTTATACTTAAAAGTTCGGCTTGGTTGATTGGGGTGGGGGTGAACAATGAAAAATAT